ATTCCCCTCGGAAGGGGCAGAGTCCACCCAGCAGCCCCACGAAGGAGGAATTTCCTCATGGTGGAGCATTTCAGGGAGGCAAAAATAGCCTGAACACGCCAGGGAGCTCCGAATCCAAGGAAAACATTTGGAGGTAACCATGGAGCACCTGAGCCRGGGCAGGGAATTCTTGGAAATTAAACAATGGGGATCGGGGAAAAGGGACAATTGTCACCGACACCTTCGGGGTGATGGGGCTGGAGAGGCTCGGGGAGCCGGAAAGGGGCTCAGAGTGGGGAAAAGGGGGATCAGGGGGAATTTTGGGGCTCTGCACAATTCCCTGACAGGAGGGGACAGCCCGGGARGGTCGGGCTCTGCTCCAGGGAACAACAGAACAAGGGAAATATCATCAGGGGTGGAAATCAGGAGGAATTTCTCCATGGGAAGGGCGATCAGGCATTGGAAGCACTCAGGAACATCCGGAGCGCCCATCCCTGGAGGTGGCACTGTCACCTGGGGGTGGCACTCAGGGCTGGGGACAATGTGGGGATGGGGCACAGCTGAGGACCGCTGAGCTTGAGGGGCTTTTCCAACCCCAGCGATCCCGCAATTCATCCCAGCTCTGCCCCCTTCTTTCAGGAGGGATTTTCAGTTCCCCCAGTGATCCCGGGATTCATCCCAGCTCTTCCCCCCTGCTTTTAGCAGGGATTTTCTGCTCCCTCGGTGATCCCAGAGCCCTGTCCAGCTCTGCTCCCCTGACTTCAGCAGGGATTTTCTGCTCCCCCAGTGATCCCGGAATTCATCCCAGCCCTGTCCGACTCTTCTCCCCTGACTTCAGGAGGAATTTTCTGCTCCCTCGGTTATCCCGGAATCCATCCCAGCTCTGTCCCGCTGCCTTCAGAAGGGATTTTCTACTCCTTCGGTGATCCCGGGATTCATCCCAGCCCTGCCCAACTCTGTCCCGCTGCCTTCAGGAGGGATTTTCTGTTCCCCCAGTGATCCCGGGATTCATCCCAGCTCTGCCCCCTTCTTTCAGCAGGGATTTTCTGCTCCCTCGGTGATCCCGGAATTCATCCCAGCCCTGTCCAGCTCTGCCCCGCTGCCTTCAGGAGGAATTTTCTGCTCCCCAGCCATCCCGGAATTCATCCCAGCTCTGTCCCCGTTTTCAGGAGGGATTTTCTGCTCTCTCGGTGATCCCGGAATCCATCCCAGCTCTGCGCCCCTGTTTTCAGGAGGGATTTTCTGCTCCCCCAGTGCAGGTTTTGTGTTTTTCTGTGAAGCATCACCCCAAACACCGTCCCCAGCCACCCCAGGTGACCCGGGGGATGTTTACTCCGAGAGCTGTGACAAACCCAGCGGCGATGTCACAACCCCCTGGCACTGCCAGCCCGGCAATTGTCACATCCCAGCCCAGCTCCCCATTGAGGCCATGCAAATGGAGCCTCCAAAACACAGGGAGGGGTTCCGAGAGAAAAATCCACCCTTTATCCCACTCCAGTTCTTCATTTTAAACTTCATTATTCGRCCGTTTGAAATGCTCCTCACCCGTTTAGCTCAGGATGTATTTGTACAGGATAATGTTCACCTTTAAATATGCAGAATTCTCTTTAAAGACGAGCTTTAAAAAGCCTCTCCCGATATTTTGTTTGKCATTGAAAGCTCATCCAGGGGAAAGCCTCATCCAAATTAAACCCACCCCCTCCCAGTATGCAAAAGAGGATTTTCATTCAGGAAACCTTTTGCAACAAAGGCTTTTCAGCCAGGTGAGTTCAGAGCTGGAGAAAGGCAGACAAACAGCCCGGCRAACGCTGTTAAAGTGGGTGTGTGCAGGGAACGTGTAGGAACAGGGATGAGGGGAGAGAGGGAGGATTCGCCTCCATCCAAAAACAGAAAATCAGCTCAACCCATGGGCAAAACAACCCCAAATTCACAGGAGAAAGGTTCGCAGAGCTGCCCATCACCAATCGTTAATTACAGATTTTTTTCGCTGGGAATTTCAGAGGGTGGTGGTTGCTTTTGCTTAAAATGTTGCAGCAGAAATTAGAATTCCTGCATCAGGATATCAGCAATTYATCAGTGTATCAGCRATTAATCAGWATATCAGTAATTAATCAGAATACCAGTAATTAATCTGTGTATCAGCAATTAATCAGAATGCAAGTAATTAATCAGTGTATCAGTAATTAATCAGAATACCAGTAATTAATCAGAATACCAGTAATTAATCAGAATATCAGTAATTATCCAGTATATAAACAAAGAAGAAAATGAATTCTCCCCAGCACGAAGACCTGGCATTGAATTTTTCCTGCAGCACAAATCTGCTTTTCCTAAAAACTCAGCTCTTGGACTCACCCCCTGCCCCAGATGATTCTCACTGAACCCCCTCACCCATCTCCTCATTTCTCACACATTTGAGTGCTTGAAATTTTCTAAAACTGTGGGAGATAATTAATATATTCCACATTCCTGAGTAGAAAATCCTTTCCTCAGCCCAGGTTTTAATGAGGAATAAACAAAATATTTCTGGCCACGGCTGTAGGAATCAGGAGGCACCGGCTGAAGCAGCATCCACAAATCCTGGAAAGCCGAATTTGGGATTTCTCGCTGCTGGCGGTGCAGGCTGAAACCTGCCCTGCCCCGGTGGATGAAAGGACACGACACAGAATTATTAGATGGTCCAAATTACAAATGGCCATTGGGCAATGGGGATGGAGCTGTTTGTGGCCAGTTTGTGGCCAGCAGTGCCCGTTCACAGGGAGAGATGTTTGAAAACCCAGCAATAAAGGGTTGAGTGGGAATGTCAGGGAGAAGGTGAGGCTGGGAGCAGGGRAAGCACAGGATTCCTGATTGAGCAAACACAAACCTTGGAGACCTCGCAGGGCTCACATTCCAAGGGTTTTGTTGCTGGGTTTGGAATCTGAGTCCTTCTCCCGGTTGAAGGTTTTATTTTGGACATTTCTGGACCAGAAAGCCAGGCCAGGTCCTTCTTTAGCGTGAATGCGATCTCAAATCATAAACAAGCAGCCAAAAACTACCAAAAAGCAGCCAAAAAGCAGCCAAAAAGCAGCCAAAAAGCAACCAAAAAGCAGCTAAAAAGCAGCCAAAAAGCAGCCAAAAAGCAGCCAAAAAGCAGCCAAAAAGCAGCCAGCTCATGGGCTGGAGAGCAGAAAGATGAGAAATCTCTGCTGTGATTTACAGCCCCATAAACGCAGTGAGTCACTGCAATAATTTCCTGTTTGCAGGAGGCCAAACTCTCCCATCTTTGAGGAACTGAGGAGTTCCCGAGCTGGCGCCTCATCCTTGGRATTTGCACGGGATATTTATGGGATCGCACGGGGTTTTGTGTCGCTGAGGGGYTGGATGGATCCTGCCTGGACCCACACAGTCAATAAGGCAAAGCAGGTGAAATGGAAAGGAAATATTTACCCAAGCAGAGCAGGACGTGTCCTTAGTGCAAACCAGACACGCTTTGGGGCTGTCTCCATGTCATGTTTGAAAGGTTATTTAACAAATCCCTTCTCCTTGAACAAAACGAGGAATAAACCGGGATTTTGGCTCGCTGTGCCTTTGCTCCCTGAGCTGCAGAGCCCCGGGGATTTTTCAGAGATCACAGAGGGCTGCTTTGCCCTCGGAAAGTGGAATCACAGCTCCAGCCGTGCCTCTCCCCCATCCATTCCCGTTTCCCGGATCCAAAGGCAGCTCCATTAATTGCCGGCAATAATCTGCGGGGCAGGGAGCCAGGGAGCAGCCAGCAATGCAGATCAGCTCCTGATTCCTTGTTCTACAAGCCCCAAATCTCCTTTGATCGATACCTGAATAATCCTTTCAACATCCCTGAGGCTGCGGCTGCTGCTGCCGGAGCGGGGATGGGGCAGGGAGGGGAGGGGATTCGATGCCCCGCTTAAATTCGAACCCAAAAGTGAAATTATTCTCTTAAATCTGCCCCAGAGAGCCYGGCTGCTCTGTGCCCAGGCTGATATCAGAGATGATATCGCTCAGGATTGAATCTGGAACGCTTTCCAGCACCCAGCCAAGGAACAGAAGCCTTTGATAAGCATCGTAATCCTTTTTCCCATTTAGGTGCTTAAGAGAAATATCCGCTTGTTCGTGGAAAASGCACAGCCCACGAGGTGAAATACATTTCTCAGGGACACGGGAATGGGGTTTATTTGATGTTTATCTCTGACACYGAGATCTGCTGGTGATGAGGAAATGGATTTCCTACGAGAAGTGTCCCCATTTGTCACGGTTTAACCCCTGCAGCACCGAACACTCACAGGCACCAGGTCACACCCCCTCCCTGGTGGGATGGGGAGCTGTGAGGAGGTRAAAAATTCATGGTTGGGWWARRAWWRKTTWAWWAAWKRAAATAATTGGATKAAAGTGAGAGAGAGAGARAAAAATAAASCCCAATTATTGCAATAAGCACGACGCAGGCTCTCAGCAGCTGCTGCCCAAAGCCTGGCCACTCCCCAGGCAGACATCAGTGCCTCAATCCCCCGATTTAAATCCTGAGCTCGACTTTCCACAGTATGGAATGTCCCTTTGGCCATGGTCAGCAGCTCCCTCCCAGCTCCTCCTTCACCTCCTGCCCGGGAACCTGAAAATTCCTCAATTTGGGGGAAGCACAACTGAGAGAGCACTGGAAATGTTTGAYATCAACAGCATTCCCCTGCTCAATCCAAACCACAGCCCTGYRYCAGCTGCTGAGGAGAAAAMTGACTSTACCCCAGCTGAAAACCACTTTTGAGAATTCCCAAAATGTTTAATTCAGGATCCACTGCTGCTTTCCTCACTTGCACAACTCCAAGTCAGAGGTTGCTTTTCCCTTCCCACTAAACCAAACAGAATTTAATTTTCCCGCTCCACACAGCATGAAAACCACTTTTTTCAGCTCACAGTTAAGCTTTTTCTTGGGAAAAGTCATTTCTTCATCTGAGGATTGTTAGGAAAGAGGGTGGAGCCTTCCCGGGCTGACGTCCTCTGAACCGTACCTGAGTATAAAGAGCAAAGGAGAACTGCAGCCAAGAAACTCTCAAAAGCTGCTTCCAGTGGCTGCTGGGATTCCAGGGCTGCTTTTATTCTTCCCCTGCTGGAACTTGCTGCTCTAAAAAGAAGAGGAAAGCTGGACCCAGCTAATCACGTTGGAGGATTAATTACAGCAGCCATGGTCTCGATGTGAAACTGGATTGATTATTTGGTTTGTTTTAAAYACAACCAAACAGGGGTGGTTTTTTTCCTCCCTTCTTCTCTTTCACCTTTTTTTCTTCACACTCAGTGGAGATGTTGCAAACAGYCTGCATGAGTCCCGAGCTCCTGGTCAACCAAAACATGAGTGAAAGTGAAATTTGTGGCTACAGCCYAGGCCTGGGCTCTCCCCTGCCCGGAGAAACCGCCAGCCCCAAGAGCTGCTTCCAGCAGAGCCCATCGCTGCCAGACTCGGGATTAACTGAGCTCAACGATGCCAGCCCCAAGCTCTACCACCCTCCTCCTGCCTGCAGAGCTCAAGGGATGCCTGCTCCTGCTGGTAAGAGAAAATCTTTATTCCCATTTCCTGTTTTGTGCTTTTGGACCACCAGTGAAGGTTGGTGGCTCCTTTAGGGGCAGCTCAGAGCTCGGTGATATCAAATGTTCAGCACATTCCCCGACTCAGCCTTGGCTGGGTTTTGTTCTGTTTTGCTGCTGAGGTCACAAATGGCTCTGGTTCCCAACAGATGTCCAACATTGCAGCATTTCTGTCCATCCATCTCCAGCGTTTCCTTTGCATTCTGAGTTGCAAGTTTAGCTCTGAACTAACAGCAGGGTAAGAGATGTGACCTTCTGAGTTATTAACATTTCAAAGTCACAGCAAAGTGTGTTTGGTGAATCATTGCCTTTGCAGAGATCCTCAGTTCCTAGGATTTATCTGATCCATCACAGAGCATTTTCCACTGGAAAATCTTCCCAGATAACAAGCTATTAGCAATCCTGTGGATTGCTACAACGCTTTCCACAGAAACCTTCAAAACACTCATCAAACAGTCAATAATTCATCGTCAAAACACCCAGCTAAAAAAAGAAATCATTTCTAGAACAGTCTGAGAAACAAACTCTGCATTTTGAGGTCCCYGCGTTTTAATTATTCAGCGATAGGTTAAACACTGAGAAGTGCCAGAACTCTGAGCACAGAACAACAGCCCCATCCCTGCCTTCCCAAAGCTCCATTTGCTGCTCCCTCCCGCTGGAGCTGGAGGGGTGTCAGCTCTCGTTGCCTGGAGCAGGAAAGGGAAACAAAATCACGCAACAAGAAACCACATCTTGTGGGGCTGGTTCCCATGCCAGGGCTGCCTCCTCTGAGCACCCGGGAGCTGCTCCATTCCCATCTGCTGAGCTGCCCTGGTTCCCCTCCACAGGGCCCAGCCGGATCCCAGCAGCTCCAGATTTTGCTCAAAAATACCATTTCAGGCACCTCCTGTTTTATTCTCTCTTTGCCCATTTTTTCCAATTGAAGCTGGTGTTTTTTAACCCCAAATTGGTTTCATTCTTCAGAAGTGAAAGTTTCTCCCTGTTCTCAGGATCCCACGCTCTGCTGCCCAAAGCTTCATCTTCCTTTGGAGCTCTGCCTTCCTCCATGGTGTATTTTTAAATTTTCCTGATAAAAAACATTGAACTAATAGTTTAACAAACGCCTTAAATTTATAATTTTGCTCATATCTGTTACTGAATGCATCCTCTATAAAAATTATTGCGAGGCAGGGACAGGAACGACAGCGTTACATAAAAGGGATTTCAAAAGCCGATGGATTTAAGCTCCTAATCTGGGCAAGTCTTTCAAGTTTGGGGATACAGGCACCAGATGCAAGGAGACCTAACACAAACAAGCACAGAGCAGCTTGTTTTGACAGAGAGCGAGCCTGTTTGGACGATGAGGTGTATTCTCAAATAACTGTTTGATTTTAGCCCAGAAAATCAGTTTTTTTCCCTTTGAATCACAGCATATTGACTTCCAAAAGCACAGAGGGGAAAGCCACTGGGACAGAGCATCCCTGTCATAATTTTGAGTAAATCAAATCCTRTTCCTTATTGCTGCACTGATATCAATTGAATAAACCACAGGGCAGGAAACTGCAAAGACAGATTTACCACAGCACAGGAAAATCAGAACGTGAGTAAGAGGAGAGTTAGTAAGAGAACCTAAACCCTGCTGRCACATTCCCCAAAAGCAAAGCCACGCTCTGTGGCAYGCAGGAAAACYGAGGAGGAATTCCTTAAAGGAATTRCTGAGCAGAGAGGAGRCCAGAGCCRAGGAGATGTGAAAATTCCCAAAATGAACGTGGGAATGAGAGCCCRTTCCCCAGGCTGACCTCACCCTCCCACCCTTCTCCAGCAGCTCTCAGAACCGTGTGTTACTCCCAGCCTCGTGTTGTGACTTTTCCAGACTCTGAACTTAGCTCTGATCCCCCTCAGAAGCGCTACATGGGTGTGAGAGTGAAGATGCCGGTGCGGGAATTGCTGAGGAAGATCCGCCTTTCCCAAGGAGTGGAGCCGGCTCACAGCAAGGTCAGGGCTCCCTGAGCTCGGGCTGCACAAATCCCAAACCCTCTGGGTGTTCTGGAGACAGCCCAGCTGCAGCTGCTGCCTCTTCCAGCCACCAAATCCACGCTTTTGATGAGAATAAACYGAATTTAAAACGGAATAAGGACCGGGCTAAGAGTTGTGACAGTGACACCATGGGTGCTGTACGTCACCCAAACACACCAAAGATGGCCCAAAACCATTTCAAAGATTGTTCCAGAGCCTGCAGCACCAGCCCAAGGAGCTGCTGTAAAGATTTTTTTAACGCTGCCATCAATGACCCACTCATCATTTTGACCCCAGCTCCCCCTCTGCCGAGCCAATCCCACAGCCCAGGAGGCGATGTCCCCCCGTTCCTGTCCCCGTGTTTGCCTCTCCTGTCCCCTGTTCCCATCTCACACTGAACCTGGCCGCTTTTGTCTCCTCAGGAATCCTCAGCAGTGAAGACGGTAACCAAGGGATCCTCAGGAAAAACAGGTTTGGAAACGCCTGGCTTGGTAACCGAGCCTCCTTTCGCTGTAGGATCGTCCCTGGGAGGTACCCAAAGAGCCAGACCCTCCTGGCCCATGGTCAGCGACCCTGCTGGCTCCCTCCCAGCCCAGGATGATGGCCAGCTCCTCATCCCTCCCTGTCTGGGTTATCTCCCTGTTATTTGGGGTAAAACTAAAGGGAATCTCCGCTCTGAGTGCCTCTCCTGGGCCCTGAACAGCTTTTTTTTTTTTTTTTTTTTTTTTTTTTTTTTTTTTTTTCTGCCTCTCTTTCCAGCAGAGAAGAGAAGAGCTCACCCTTATA